CTCCTTTCTTTCTTTCTTTCTTTCTTTCTTTCTTTCTTTCTTTCTTTCTTTCTTTCTTTCTTTCTTTCTTTCTTTCTTTCTTTCTTTCTTTCTTTTTCAAGACAGAGTTTCTCCATGTAGCCTTGGCTGTCCTGGAACTCACTCTGTAGACCAGGCTGGACTCGAACTCATAGAGATCTGCCTGCCTCTGCCTCCCAAGTGCTGGGATTAGAAGCATGAATCACCACTATTCTACGATTTCTTAAAGTCTTGTATGACTAGAAAATACAGTTGCTCAAGAGATACTGTTAAATTTAAACATCAAAAGTCCATGTAAGGAACATTTCTCTAGGACTTAGGAGTAGCTTCCACTTCTTCAAAACTCCTGACTGACCAGAAACCTAATCTAAACTGGTTTTCTGGCACAGAAGAGTGTGAATCACATGTCTCAATCACATCTGGTGCCTTTTCCCATGACAGGCAGGACCTCAGAACAGTGATCTCTCCCTTCCATATCTTCAGGCTGCATCTAATAGCACTGAATGTGTTTTAAAATGACTTTAATTCTTCGAAGTATTATGATCATCTTTAAGCTAATATTTTACAGGATATTTATATGTGGACATGTGTGTGTGCGTGTGTGTGTGTGTGTGTGTGTGTGTGTGTGTGTGTGAATACTTGTCTATCTATCTAGCTACTGCTATGTTGCCAAGGAATATATATATGCACATATGTGTATATACACACAAACACATAAATATATGAATATTTGTCTATTCATCTAGCTACTGATAGGTCAATATTACTCTCATGTATCCCAGGCTAAACTCAAATTTGCTATGTATCCAAGAATGACCTTAAACTCATCTTCCTGTTTCCATCTCCTGAGTACTTGTATTACAAGCATGTTCCACCCCAACCAGTGCTTCATGCATGCCACGCAATCACTCATAAACTAGCTGAGCTACATCTCCAGCTCAGTTCTTAATAATTTTGTGTTATGATATTTAACTAGTGGACCAAGTAGAATAGTGTTGTTTGTTGTTTTTGCTCTTTTTTTGGGGGGGGGGGCCTGCCACCCAGCTCCCAGATAAATCACACACTGAGGCTTATTCTTAATTATAAGTGCCCGGCCTTAGCTTGGCTTATTTCCAGTCAGCTTTCTTTAATTTAAATTATCACATTTATCTTTTGTCTCTGGGCTTTTATCTTTTTTTTATTCCTGTATTCCTTTCTTTATTTCTTACTCCGTGGCTTGCTGTGTAGCTGGGTGGCTGACTCCTCCTCCTCCTGTGGCTACTAGATCTCTCGTCTCCCAGATTTCTATTCTTTCTGCCTGCCAGCCCCACCTATCCTTTCTCCTGCCTCCCTATTGACCATTCAATTCTTTATTAGACCATCAGGTGTTTTAGACAGGCACGGTAACACAGCTTCAGAAAACTAAACAAATGCAACATAAACAAAAGTAACAAAACTTTAAATGATATTCTCCAACAGCGTTAAGACCTAATATTTGGTATTTATATAAGTAGAGATAATTCTTTGGAAATCTAAAACAAGGGGGGGGGAATCTGCTTCAATTTTATACATACCTCTTTCTACAAAGAAATTTATTTTTATTTTATGCATATAAGTGTTTTGTCTGCATGTATGTATGTGTACCACATGCATGCCTGGTGCTATTGGAGGCCAGAGATGGTATTAGGCTCCCCTGGAACTGGAGTTACAGATGGCTGTAAGCTGGCATGTGGATGCTAGGACTAAACCTGGGCCCTTTGGGAGAGCAGCCTGTGCTTTTAACTGCCAAACCATCTCTCCAGTCACTCAATCTCTCCTCTATATAGGTAATATTAACCTATCAGTAGCTAGATGGATAGACAAATATTCATATATATGTAATATATACATCCACAAATATTTACATATATGCAGGTAGATTTCAGCATTCATCTATATTTTTAGCAATCAAAAAATTGTAGATACTAGAGTATTCCCAGAGACATGCTACTTTGCCAGGATTATTTGGCTTTAGGTGAAATCAGACTTCATCATTGCTGTGCTCCACCCTTGCCATATTCCTCAAGTAGTACTTGTCATTCTTGTCCCATCTTCTCTAGCCTATTGTGACAGGACCAATGACGATATTAGTGTAGCTTGGTTTTCTTCTTGTCAAAACTTACATTATACTACCAGCAGGTCAGAGGATACTATCTGATTCATAATGAGCTGTATTTTAACTGCTTTAATTATTTCCCAATACTTTTTTTTTATTTCCCAATACTTTCAAAGCTCACATTTGTTTTGTTTAAAGGAAGACAAATGCAAAGATAAGCCCCCTTTATTTGGATTATAATACTCAAAGCATTTAGTCTTATGTTACTAAAAATTTTTTTCTTGTGGAAGATAAATACTTCCTCCTAAAGTCCCAACAATGAACCAACGTGTGATTCCACTGAAGTTTGCTTAGAGAAACCAGTGAGTTTATTGGGCTTATGTACAAGGCATAGGTGAAGGGTTACTTTCAGGAATGTGGTGACCTCCCAAAAGGCCCTACTGGAAATTTGTACCCAGCAGAAATGATGGCCTTCCCATAGGCCCATAAATGGAGCCCTCTCCACAGGCCTGGTCCTTCCCCATCTATATACTCTAGCCCCTTCCTGAGGCCATATGCAATTAGAGCAGATTGCATACAACTAATTGGAAGGAGGAGCTGGATGTGAAGGGAAGGATACCTTGGAACTGGATTTATTTTTAAGCTGCTGTGTGGCTGCTGGGAACTGAACCTGAGTCTCCTGCAAGAACAATACATGCTCTTAATGGCTGAGCTATCTCTTCAGCCTCCAGACTAATTTCTTTATTATTATTGTCAAAGTAATGGGTTTCATTATGATATTTCCATGTGCACATGTCCTTATACTTTGTTCTCACTTGCTGTCTTCTTCCACTGCTCTCCTTCTCCAGACTCAAAGCCTTTTCTGGTTGGTCCCTTTCACCTAGTTATTCACACTTGCTTTCTTATTACACAGATTCCATTAGCCTTTCTATTTCCCCCTCCCTGAAGATCTCTTCCTTTCTTCTCATGAGTCCCTTTCTGGTTTTATGATCTATATACATGTACTCATACATCTATATAAACATATATGTGTATAAAATTTGAAATCTAGGTTCTATATATAAAAGAGAATGGGAGGTATTTGTCTTTATGAGTCTGGCTTACTTTGCTCAACATGATTTCTAGTTGCATCCTTTTCCCTGCAAATGTCATGATCTCACTTTTCCTTGTGGCTGCATAGAGAATTCCACTGTCTATATACACATTCTTTTTTAAAGCCACTCATCAGGTGATGGACATCTAGGCTGTTTTCATTCCCTGCCTACCATGAACAGCACAGCAATAAACATGGATACAAGTGTCTCTGTGACATCTTGATTTAGAGGTTTTCAGATACAGACTGGAGAGCAGTTGGTACGGCTGGGTCATATGGTAGTTCTATTTTTAGTGTTTTGAGAAACATCCATATTGAATTCTGTAGTGTCTAACCTAATCTACATGCCCACCAGCAGTGGTAAATGTTCTTTTTCCATGTCCTCACCAACATGTTTTTTGATGATACACATTCTGCCTGGGGTGAGATGGAATCTTAAAGCAGTTTAAATTTGCACTTCCCTGATGGCTAAGGATGCTTTTCAAGTATTGGTCAGTTTTATTCCTTCTTTTGAGAACTGTTTGTTCAGTTCATTGGTCCATTTTTGACTGAATAATTTGGTTTAAGCTTTGTGTTTAAATTTGCTGTTCCTTATATATCCTAGACATTATCCTTTGCTTGATGTGTAATTGGAAAAGAAGTCTTTCCTGTTCTGGAGGCTGACTCATTACTCCGGTAATTGTTTCCTTTATGGTGAAAAAGCTTTTTAATTTTATGTAATCTCATTTGTCAATCCTTAGAGTTATTTCCTCTGCTTTTGGAATCCTGTTCAGGACTAATCCTTGCCTTTGCTTACATGTTGAAGTATTTTTCCTGTTTACTCTAGCAGTTTCAAAGTTTCAGGTCTTGCATTCAGGTATTTAATCTGTTTTGAATTGATTTTTGTGCACGGTGAGAAATACGAATCTATTTTCATTATTTTATATGTAGAAATCTAGTTTTTCCAGCACTATTTGTTTAATGTTTACACCTACCCTGAGCCTAGATCTGCTTGTTCTAGAACAGAAGTTCTCAACCTTCCTAATGCTGTGACCCTTTAATACAGTTCCTCATATTGTGGTAACCCCCAACCAAAAAGTTATTTTGATGTTATTTCATAACTATAATTTTGCTAACATTATGAATCATAATGCAAATATTTGTGTTTTCCATGGGTCTTAGATAACCCATGAAAAGGTCATTTTATCCCCAAAGGGGTTGCGACCCACAGGTTGAGAACAGCTGGTCTCGAAAAAGCAAAATATCTTTAAACAAACTCAGTTCAAAATATCTTTAAACAAACTCAGTTCTGATCACCCAAATCATTTGATAACTATTAAGGAATAGAAAAAATGAGCTGATCAAATCCTCAGAACTGCTCCTTGTCTCCCACAGAACTGTGCTGTACTCAAGGTGTGTCCTTGGCAACAAGGAATGGCTGTCTCCTTTGGGGAAATGCTCACTCAGAGAGTATTTGTAAGGGTTCTAGAGCCCCACTCGTCCATAGAATTGCCCAGTTGAATATGATAAACTGTCAACCCCCTGTCGGAAGAAGCTCCAGGAACAAAAACTGCCATTGATTAAGTAAAATAAAAACGATGTGTGTCGTCATCTCCAATGCTACGCTCAGTTTTCCCTAGACCTTTCACGCCTCAGTGGGCATGCCTCTCTCAGCCTGGTTTGTTGGTAGGTGCCTTTGTTGGTAGCTGCCTGGGAGTCTGAACAGGATGGAAGAGGTGGGAATGAAGCTCTGGAGTCTGACAGTCTGGCTTGGGCAGGAGACATGAAGACTCTGGGCCTAGAATTCTTCATCTGCAAGCCAGAGAAAAGACTATGTCCCCACTCGGGTTACTGACCTCTCCTCACAATAACTGTGAGAACAAAGAGAAGCAACATCGGGGCATCACTGCTTACCAGGTATTCAATGAGTGGAACCTGGTCCTTCTGATACAGTACGAGACAAACAATGTTTGGGACTAGGGAGATGCCTCAGTGGGCAAGAAGAGCAGCAGCTGCAAAAGCGTGTCGACCTGAGCTCAAAACCCAGCATGCATGGAAAAAAGTCATGCTTGTAACCCCAGGGATGCAGGGGTGGTGAAGAGAAGAGGGTCACTGGAGCTTGCTGGTTGACGGACTAGCTCCAGGTTCAGGGACATCCTAACTCAGATGAATAATGTGGAGACTAATAGAGCCAGATACCCAACATTCTCCTCTGGCCTCTGGGCATGCACACACATGCCTCCCTACATGTGCAAATAACACACACACACACACAGAGAGAGAGAGAGAGAGAGAGAGAGAGAGAGAGAGAGAGAGAGAGAGAGAGAGAGAGAGAAGTAAACAAATATATAAGTGGTTATCTTATCATCTCCTTCACAGACACCATGCACTTTAACCATTAACTACAAAATACAGATTAAAAAATTAAAAAACACATCTCAGTGTTACATAGTTCTCCAGTGGCCCCAATCTGCTTTCCAAACATCCCTAGTCTATAACTTCGTATTAACTGGACAACCCATCTCCTCTCACTTGATATGCCCCCTTTCCTGTTTGAACTCCAACTATGTTTCAAGGTATGGACTGAATCCTGCCTCTTCAGTGAAGCCTTCCTGACTCCAGAGAGTGCTCCCCACTCGTGAGTTTAACAGAGCACCTGGACCAGCCTTTCTCAGTTTTCTCCTGCATGAGACTACACTCACACGTTCCACACACAACCATGGGTACCCAGACAAGATGTGACAACTAAATTAACTGGGTGCGGTTGTAGTAACTCTTTCCCACTTCTAGTCATGAAGATAAATCATTGAGTGGCATCACAGGGAGTCTTCAAAAGGGAAAAATAACTCTGATGAAACTGAGGACTTTACAACTAGTAACAAATCTCACAATGATGTCACAACTTGGAGCTAGAGAACCTCTGGTTTATGTTTCTAGTCTGGTCTGTAGTACACAGGCATTTCTCATGGGATCCTGTCAAAACAGCCCTAAAGCTAATCTTGCAGTTCCATGTTTTTTGTTGTGGCCTAAAAAATGTCCTCATAATCAGTGTAGTACAAATTAGCTAGGTTTTAGGAGAGCTCACATGAACATTCTGCTAGTGATGTAACTGCACTAAAGTACACGAGCACCTTCGTATACTACATACGAAGTAGTATGGCAGAACTTAAGGACCTTTACATTACTGGACAGACGCTGTGAAGAGAACAAAGTTGTGTGTGTCTGTCCATGTGTGTATGTGTGAATGAAAAATTCAGGAAGAGAAGATAGACTTCATGGAGGGAATGTGGGAGTCTCTGATGGGGAGAAAATCAGGACAGACAGAAGGAAAAGGGGCACCAGTAGAGGAATGATTGTACAAAAACAAAGGGCACTAACTTCGACTGCTTGCTGTTCAATTCTTGTATAGCCAGTTAAAACTGAAATTCCCAGAACTAAATGAGATGTTCCATACTAAGTACTAAATACATGTGATATATTTCTGCACATTCCAGCTGCAATGCATATCAACTAATTGGTAGCTCATCATTATCATTATTAAACCCTGGAAATGCATTTCATATTTATGTGTTTATTTACAGACATGATTTTTAGTTCAAGTTACTCTGGAACTCATGGTCTCTTGCCTCAACTACCCAAGTGCTGGGGTCACAGGTGCATGCCGAATTTAAAGAAGACAAATATTGTTTTTATGTGTGTAGCTAATGTTTTCATTTTGTGATTATTATTCAAGAAATTTTTAATGCATGATTCACTTTATTTTGGACTTAGTTTATTTGCTCATTAAATGATGGAAGACGGTACTTGAGCAGTCATGATAAACAGTATAAAGTATTTGAGTAAAGAGGATCCCTAACATTTCGACATGTTGTGTATTAGTTTCCTAGGGCTTGTGTAATGAAGCCTCCTCTTTATGGGAAACTGAAACTGTTAACACATTACCCTCTTCTCTTACAGACTTTCACAATCAATATTTAAACTGGTGACAATGATATTACATCTTCCGAGTAATTTCTTATTTCCTATTTTTATCCTGAGGAGTAGACAGCACAGCTAGCTGCTTAACCAGTTTTCATAAATATCAAGATGAAACTTGTCTTTGAGGTATGGCACAGACTGCTGATCTTAAGAAATTTTGCCTGCAGATACTTGGAATCACTTGTGAACTGATCATTCAAACATAAATAGACAAATTCCAAACTCTTATTGTCATGTGTCTCTAAAAATGTTTAAAATGTTAGAAAGAAAAGAAGTTGAAAGATTTTTATTACACCCAAAACATCCTTTGAGGAGTTGCAAAATGGAAAGAATGTTTTTAACATTGTTAATACAGTAGGGTGAATGGTCACATATCAGTGCTATAATTAACACATGGAAACATGTCTTATCAACAGCTGCTGATGTTATCGAGGGCAGAAGTTCACCTGCTCCGTGGCAAGTATGTCACCTGTGTGTCACACACGAAGGATAGAAACAACATTCTCACAAAACAGCCAACAATGCCTGTACACACAGTGCTGTAGTGAAACACCCAGGAAGTGGGATTGCTTACACACATACCCCATGTGCAACTTGTCACGCACTGGAAGCTGCACTCAAAAAGGCAATAACTTAAAAGAGGTCAAGAACAAAGTCACTCATGGGAGGTACCAAGATAGAAAACAGTTTTGGAGTCCAGTGGTTCTGAATTCAATCTCCAGTTGTGTGCCTTACTAGCTGTGGGAGAGTGAGCAAGTCACACAGTCTCTCCAAAACCAGTGTGTGTGTGTGTGTGTGTGTGTGTGTGTGTGTGTGTGTGTGTGTGTGTTTAATGGGGAGGAGTGCATGAGCAAGACACATAGTCATTCCAAAACCAGTGTGGCTTTTGTTTATGTGTATGTGTTTAATAGGAAAATGTGTGAACAAGTTACACAGTCTCTCCAAAACCAGTATGGCTGCGTGTGTGTTTAATAGGGAGGAGTGTGTTTGGCTATGTAGCCCAGCCTGGCATGGCAGTCATGATTCTCCTACCTCAGGTTCACAAGCACTTGGCATTCCAGGCATGAACCCCCATGCTCATATTACAACCAGCATTCTGATCTGTGTCCACCTTACTGACAGAATCAAAATAGTTACCTGGCATGTGGCAGTTATTTTCTGCATTGTAATTATTAAAGCTCAATGAGATTTTTTTTTTTGAGACAACTGTGTAGCCATGGTTGTCCTGGAACTTGATCTGTAGATCAGGCTGGCCTTGAACTCAGAATTAAAGGCATGCACCACCACTGGAATTAAAGGCATGCACCACCACTGCCCTGAGAGAATTTAATGGAGTAAAAATGTAGGAACCATTATTGTAACTACTTTATAGGAACACACACAAAACAATACGTAATTTACTGTACTTACTACACACCAGGCATATGGCAAATACTTTACACTTACTAGTTTAATTTTTTATTAACCTACCCTATATGCAGATTATTGCTCCCAAATTATGAAAGAAACAGAAGCTTGTTGACATTGAAATATCTATTCAGGATCATATAGGGTGGAGCCTGGTCTCAAAATTGGCACATACCCTCTTAGACAGTCATGTAACTCCAATGACGTCTAAATAATACTTTTGGGAGGTGGCTTTAACATTAGTCATCAGAGCTGGAGAGATGACTCAGCAGTTAAGAGCACTAACTGCTCTCCCAGAGGACCTGGGTTCAATTTCCAGCACCACAACTGTCTGTAACTCCTGTTTCAGGGGATCCAACACCCTCAGACATACATGTGGGCAAACTGCCAATGTACATAAAATACAAATATATATCAGTCATCAATACCCTCCGTGAGGGTATTACTGTGACTTCCTTGTTGGACTCAGACCCCTGTAAAGTTAAGATACCTGTTCTGCAGCTACACTTCAACCAAACTTACAGAACTGGGAGTGGGCGAGATGGTCAGCAGATAAAGGCACTTGTGGTGGAGCCTGACAACCTGAGTGTGAGTCCAGAGCCCACATGGTGGACCCCAGCAAGTTGTCCTTCAGAACTTTCACATGCATAACACCCCCCAAGTAAATAAATACATGTAATTCAAAATTTCAAAAACCTAATAGATCTTGTACAAATCTAGTGTGTTAGTTTAAAAAAAAAATCAAGCCACAGATGGTGCTGTACGCCTTTAATCCAGCACTTGGGAGGTGGAAGCAGAAACACCTCTGTGAATCAGAGGCCAGCCTAGTCTACATGGCCAGTTCCAGGCCGTCAGGTTGTATAATACGACCTTGTCTGAACAAAACAAAAACAAAAACCCCAAAACCTATTGACTAATACTATCTGGGTATAATTCCCATCTGTTGTTTCCATTATGATAATAAAGAAAATCTGTGAGTAAATTTTAGCCACTCATTTTTTTCAGTGAGTTCTCTTCATAACCAAATACTTTGACACTAATAGGCCTACGTTGTGTGGACTCAGTTTACAGCCTTGTTGACCAGTTGAGGTATCAAGTTATGCTAGAAGGCCTTGGGTCAAGAGTCAGAGAATGGCCATGTAGAAAGTGGCATGTGCACACCTTTAGGGTAGTGAAGTGTCAGCCTGCTTGCTCTATGGACTCCTGCATTTTTACTTCAT